ATATCTACACATTAATAATAATTAATATCACAACATTATAAATCGCGCGAATAAATAGCATCCTTGGACTCTTGCTGTTAATACGAATTTTCATGCTCGATTTATCGCTCTGTATTGTGACTCGATAATATAAAAATACAATCATTTAATTGGGATACTACAAATATATATAATATATAGTGTAATAAAATTTTTTAATATATTATATAAATTTTTATGCTATGAACGAATATATTTATTATACGCATGAAAATATATATCGAGTCCGATTATAGTGTGAGATGTCAAAATGACAATATAATAGCGACAATATATAACATATATAATTTAATTTTACAGCCAAAAGATGCACATAAAATTGCATCTACGTAATTAATAGAAGCTTAACTATTGTTTCGAAAAAGATCGATAAATATAAATATAATTCTAAGCACATCGAATACATCGAGATTCCGAAACACTATAATGCAGATAAATAAAATTGTCGACTCGGGTTACGGTGAGGTTAGACGCGGAGATCGTCCAACGATCATCGAACGACGCAAAAGATACATCGTCATGCGACTCGAGAAAGGAAGAACGCGGTGATAACCCCTTTACACACCGATACATACAACGAGAACTCGGAAAAGCGGATTGCGTTCTCGAATAGAGAAGATTAACGATCCTCTATTGAGGGAACGCGCGAGTCCGTGTTCCGCTCTCGTTCGACAATGTTATTCTTAGGCGAAGCAGCTGCGAAATTAATGAAGGCGATCGTGCAAGGGGGAGGGGGGAGATAGAGAGAGAGAAAAAGATAGAGAAGCGTGAAATAATCTCTCGCTCACGCGCGCGTCACACAAAGGGATATTTCGCGCTTCTCACGCGGAAACGTCGTCTAGCGAGTAGCGGTTTTGCGAGTGATGGATGAGAGCATTCTCCGCGCACTCGAGACGAAAAAGTCGTAAAGGAAAAGAGAAAGAGACGGTGGTATATCGTCGGAAACGCGTGACTTTCACGTCGAGTTAGAGAATTGACTTGCGACGAAGTTGCGCCCGAGGAATTGATATAAACGCGAGCCACGACCATACCTTTAGATTTTCGCGTTGGATAGAGTAAAGAATCGCATCAGCCAAATTGACGTTTCTTCTTCGACTGGACGCAGCCTATCTTTTCGAAGAAATTAACAATCATTTATTTATTTATTAACGGAATATGCATGAGAATTTATTACATTAATAAGAAGAGAAAAATATCAGATTAATGATAGAAAAAATAAATTAAAAAATAAAATATGGTATAATAAAAAAATTAGAAAATTACAATTATAAAATTTTATGTAAATGGTATTGATTTTGAAAGGGACGCTTTTAATATCGGAAAAAAAATTGGGTCAACGACAGAGATTGCGACGTTCGTTTAAGAATATCCCGTTTAAGGACATTCTCGATAACGTACAATTAAATAAAAGGTGTGCGCCGGGAATTGTTTTCGTATACTTTGGCCGATCGATTCGACTGCGGCGCGAGTAGTCCGCATATCACGTGATTGCCACCGATCCCGGGATATTTGCCTATCTGCTACGAGCGACGGTATTTGCGCGCTGAGATTTTCCAATTAAACCGTGATTAATTCCGTGACAGCCAGTCGGAACGTGCGCGCCCGGTTGTTTACCGCGGAAGCGAAAGGAGCGAGGGAGAGAAAGAGAGGGAGAAAACAAGATCGATGAACGGGGCACGCCGGTTGAAATCGATGTTAATCCGATTTCGATAACCGAGAGTAACCGGCAGTTTGTTTGCCTTCCCGAGAAAGCGTCGCACGCGTCGCGAAAATAACGCGTGAAACGATCGGCCGGTCGATGCATCGCGGCTCCCTCGATTAGCAATCGCTCGTTATCCCGTTAACGGGGATCCCGGCGGAGAAGTCCTCGACACCGAACGGAATTTACGGTATATTAAACTTTTTTTTTCCGGCCGAGAGACGACCGCGGTGGGGATGAATGGACGCTGCTGCGAGTGCGGCCGATTGATGGACGTGTACCAGCTGTGCAAATAAATTTGCAAAGTCGTTTAAAAATACGCGTCGGCATCGCCGGTGAGAACCGCTTGTTTAGAAATTTCGAGCTTTATATATTGGCACGAGATTCCGCAAAATATTGCTGCTCGTTTTATCCGTTAAGTGAATCATTCATTTTCCAGATTATAAACACACACACACACATACATTAACGCACGAGCAGGAAAATAAAAATAATTTATTATCATCAGCGTTATCTATTCAGTGTTCGGCACCGTTATAACTTTAGACGGTTCAGAAATTGGAAGATCCAAAACGGAATATATATATTTATGCATAAGTGTTTGTGTATTTTATTTTTTTCAAATGTTTTTATTTTGCGACACATAAAATTATAGACAGATTGTTCCGAATTATAGATGCAAGCGGAAGGCTGTATGAGTCAAACACAAAATGCATAATAAAAAGCAGACACAAATAAACATGAAGATATAAATAAATTAGGATATAAATAAATTTGCAACGTACAATGCCAAGTCGCGCAGACAAACGCTTAGAGGGCGTCCCAAATTTCTCAGAAATAAAGAGCTTAAAATATCTCAGAGAATCTGACTTATATTGTCGACAAATATCGTAAAAATTTGCCCTAATTCTTGCGATTGAATATAGCATTCGTATAATCAATTTAATATATTTCAGGTACATTTGAAAGAATGAAATATGCATATGAAATCTATCTTGAATAATTATTAAACTTATTACAAAACCGGCTTTGAGAAAATATAATCCAACTAGCGTTAAACAAATCATGCTGATAACAATAATAAAAATAATAATAATAATAACATATAAAATAATAGTAATAATAATAATAATAAAATAATAATATGGTTATCGTTATTATTCTTGGAACGCATGACTTATTTAACGAGAATAAAGTGACAAGCAGTATTTTATTTTATAATGCAAAACAATCAATTACAATAAACAATTATTTGCAAATAACATCAATTACATCAGAGTTGTGTGTGATTTCCTTCGAAAGTAAACGATGCAATTGGTCGATTCTAAAGCGATGCACGATCGTCGCGTGCGTGCCGAGGATACACGTGCATCGGGCATAAGCGTATAGATTCCATTACAGCGCGATAAAAACCGGCCCCGTCCATCGCGCGACCTTTAACGTAATAATCACGCTCATGTAAGTGAAACGCACGTCAAAGCTGGCGATAAGTCACACACTCCAGATAGTTATCCTCGCAAAAAATATAATAAAAAAAAACGGGAACTAATTGAAAGAAATTAATCTTGTCGCGAGCGAGTAACGGAATGAAATCGTGCGCTCCCCTCGTCTCGTATTCCACGAAAGAGGGAAAGCGAGCTAAAAAAAAAAAACGAAAGGGATTTATTTACGTTCTCTATTCCTCGTAAACCAGCTACTCGATATATCCTGAAGTATTCATATTTGCGTAAAAAATTTCCGATATAGATGCATAAGGCGGATACAGTTGAAATTCCGCTGCACTGCAATGTTTCGCTGATGGTCGCTGTTTGTTTCGAGAGGACGTAACACAACGCTAGGAGGGAGCTCGACGGACAAATAACGATTGCAGCGATTTATTTCGCGTTCGTAAGATTAAATCTGCGTGCAGAGCGTTTCTCGAAAATAGCTCGACAAACCTTGAAGTTTACTTTTTACGCATCGAGGCCGATTTTCGCGCGTCGAAAAAAATCATTTCCAGCAGTCTCTCTAACTAAGCGTTCTCGCACAATCGTTTCCCATACAATTCCTTACTCATTAAAAATGAAATACCCTTCCAAAGTTCGTAAACATTTGCAATCGATAAAAAATGTAAGATTAAAATCGTGAACACCCTTTATTGTCGGAAACTTTCTCTCGTCAAATTATGTCCCTTTCGCGGGGAGCCTACGGATATCAAGGCCGTGACTATCGTCACCTGTTCGTATGTGCTACATAATTGCGGCCGCGGAACGAAGTAAAATCGAGCAGCGACGAGCATATTACGTCGTAGACACACACGTACACGCTTTGTCGTTGTGTGTCATTCGTGGCGCGAAACTCGAGCACACTCGTCGTCACGTAACAACACGCGACCGCGTGCATGCGCGCGTTACAACGTCACGGCGTGTCGCACGCGTGACAGCCGCCACCACTCGTCACGACACGCTCGTTTCGCGATTATTCGAGAACGCGCCTCATTAATTAATTAACTCGAGACCGAGCTCGCGCACGTGAATCTCCGACGTTCCCGCCCACGCACCCGATGATTCCCGCGGACTTTGTACGAATTTGCTTCCCGATCATTCCAATTAACAGCTCTATTTTAATAACGGTCTGACCTTTCGACACTAATCTTCAGATGCCACAAGGTTTATGTTTTAAATCGAAGCATTTCCAACGTGAGAAAATTCTCCCTAGGAAGTTGGAGGGAGGATATTATTCTGCAAACGATCGTAATTTCGTGTAAATTTGAAACTTAATCGCTTATCGACGCTTACGCACGACGATAAGCCTTGTCAAGGTATCGATTCTCGCGAATATCACTCGCGTAACTGTAGGGATTTCGAAGATGAATTGCAAAAATCGTAATCGTAGAATGTTCGCGCGTCGTCTTATCAACGAGGCCCGACAATCATGCGATCGCGAGCGAGATTATATTTATTATTCGTTGACCTCGCATCATTTCCTTTGCGACGTCATCCTCGACGAGAAAAAAAAACCTGCGAGATTACGCAACGCTTTATCGCGCAAGCACGCGAAATATGCCACGCGTGCATGCGTGTGCATACATGTGTGCGTTTCTACACGTATGCGTGCGCGTAAATCATCATCGCTCGTCACGGCTCGCGATCACCGCCCACGCGCGTGTTCCAAGTTCGTCCCGCGAGAAGTGAGCCGCGGAAGGCCGAAAAGTCTTCCGAAACGATTGCGTACTCGCTCCGGAATTCTCGACGAGTCTCGCATATATTTATGGGATACTCACGTGTCCGTCTCTCTCTAGCGCTGCTCCCGATGACGACGTCGCGCTCCACGGCTTACTCCACACTGCGATGAGTCCTTCCAACGAGAAACTTCCTCCTCTTTCACTCAAACACTCGCGCGCGAAGATAGAAAGGAGGATAGGAGATGACAGATGAATCTGGGGCGGGGTAAAGTATAAGTGCTTCCTTCACTCGATAAGATTTCACAAAAATTGCACGGTACGTGTGTATAAAAGTAAAAAAAGAAAAGCACCGCGAGACACGCGGGAATGGAGTGGAAACGGTGGCGGACTCGCTCCCCTTTCCCTCTCTCTCTCTCTCTCTCTGTCGCGCGTCCTGTCGCGTTCCCTCGATTAACTGCTCTTCGACCTTCGCGAAGCGGTGTTGCGCGACTGAGATTGTGTCGGGCACCGAGACCGAGCGAGGCACTGAAAAGAACTCCTTCTCGCGCGCACGCGTACGTACACACCGTCCTCCCCGTCCTGCGTACCTGTGTGCAATAGCGAGATCCGTATAGGTAGCTTCGTATCTGTGCGTGAGAACGAGAGAGAGAGAACGCGAACGTTTTATCGTCCCCTTCCTGCGATCCGTAACCACGTTTCGACGCGTACAAAACGACGCTCGCGAGTGCCGCTGCGAGACTGGAACGCGGGGTAACATGTGCGGGCTCTTACATAGCGCGCCGAGTGGTGGGGATGAGCGAAAAGTGGGGAGAGGCGAGGCGCGGTGGTGGGGGCCGCTTCCCCGCTCGCCTACCCCCTCCGCCACGGCGAGAAAGAACTCGGCGGTTAGCTGGCAAGGACGCCGGTGCCTCCGACGACGACGCGTCGATCGCTCGCTCTTTCGGCGCACGGCTCGTCGTCCGCCTCGACGTGTTCCTCTCGCGCGCGCGCTCCCCTTCCCTCTTTCTCGTTCTCTTTTATTATTATTATCTCTAGCTGATTATATTTTGATCCGCTTGTCGTATATTTCTGGATCGCGCTCCTCAAGCGAATTTTCTCGGAATAAAATTAATTTATATCTGCCCTCCCTCTTTCTTTTTCACATTTTCTCTCGCTCCCTTTCCGCTCCTCTTTCCTATTACACTTTTACGCGTGTATATATATTCAGCTTTCGATCCATCTCTTTCATTTAATATTCGATTCTTTTTACGATTCTCTCGTGTACTCACTCTATCCCCGTCGGGGGATTTTACCTTGCAGCATCAAACATGTTGTTATTTATTTTTCTTTTTGCAGTTTTAAAATATAATGAAACACGAGGATGAAAGGTATCGATATAACAAGCGCGTTTCAACGAAAAATATATATATTTCTAATTAAAGGTCGAAAATAATTTTCAACCTAATTTTCCTTCGCGAAAATTGTGAAATTCGAAGCTCGGCGTATCATGAGTATTTTCATACATTTACAAAAGCGTAAACAAAAAAGTAAATATAAATTTATCCCGATGCATGCGAAACTGATATTTAATATCGCAAACATTTCGGTTTGTATCGCAAACAGCGGATATGGAACATCGCGAATTCCGCGAGCGACTTATATTACGACAAACAACGAGCAAGTAAACAACGTCTCTCGAATCGATTTCTTTAATTTCCATTTTCCGCCTTTATAAGCTCCCGCGGAGCCTCATATCGTAGATACAACCGCGGCGAACAAGTAACGCGTGACGCACGCGAGGAGGAAAATTACCGGGTGTGCAGGAAGATGCGTATCGGAACTTCCGCGATGAACTAAGACAAGAGGTGGCGGCGCGCGTCTTGCGTTGCGTGTGTGTGTTTGCGGCGGCGCAACCGCGAGACGAGAGAGAAATGAATTGCTTTTTGCGCGGTGGCGCGAGAGAAAGAGAGAGAAAGAGAGGAGAACGTTTTGTTTGCCCGCGATAATGAGAAGACTCGCGGCACCGCCGACATCGTTCTTGCCCGCTCGTCGCGGAAGCAATTGTAAAATCGTTCCGCCGCCTTTATGCCGCGCGTACAAGCGTTAATTCGCGCCGCTCGTCCCTCCTTTTGTTCGCCTCCGCCGAGGACAATGATACCTCTCGCGAAAGCGACACTTTTGAATTTACGTCTCCGCGATATTTCGTTCGTGAGCCGTCGTCAGATGAGGCGATTCGTTCGACGCGATAAAAATCCGATGCCCCTCTCCTTCCTCCTCTCTCTCTCTCTCTCTCTCTCTCTCTTTCTCTCTCTCTCTCTCTTTCTCTGTTTGTGTCAACACGAGGGACACCCGGTGCACGCTTCTGGTAGTTTTGCTGCCAACTCGAGATTGCACACGCAGGCAGGGTATAGAGTTCAGGCGAGTGGAAAGTTCGGAGGAAACAAACGGCAATGCGTCTTCCCGAGTGGGGGAAACTAATTTTAGATGCGTTTCGACGTCATCCTCGCTTCGCAAAGAAATTATTAATTAACGGCGCTGAAATGTTGCGTTTCGGAAACGGGGGAACAGTTTGCAATTACTCCAAAACGCTCCGGATATGTACACGAGTGCGCGCGCACACGTGTCACGCGATAAACTGCAAGATTTAATCGCGATACCTCGTAATTTAATCGACAAAATTAATTCGTTGATATATCGCGATTTCCAATAAAATTGATAGTTTTCAAGCGTCCGTTGCAACCATCTCGAGCACGTAACGAGATATGGAAACGCACGTGTTTCCCTCCCCCTTTTCGGCCCGAAATCATCGAGTAATTTCGTCGTCGTGAACGTTGCACCTGCAACGCGCGTCTGCGAATTTTCACCGCGCAATTTAAAGGGTTAAAGCTGCCGACACGCGCACGCCAAATGAAGGACCGCCGACTGTCCATCACCAGGAAGAGAAGTTATATATCGTGTTTAACGAGTCCCTCCTCTCCCCCCATCCCCGAGAATACCCGCCATTTGTTGCCACCGTTGTGCTGCCGCCTTATCGTACTTCCGCACCGCCTGTATACAACACGAGGTTGCATCGGCAAAGAAAGAAACGATTTCTCGCGCAGAAATAAATCGAGAGCGATAAATTTCGTTGCAGGGCATTCGATTTTCCGAGAAAATTGGGAAATTAATAATGCGTTTCCTTCAGCTCGAATGATCTCGCACGATCATTGTCGTCGAATTTATCTAGCCTGATACGTGCAAAAATACAACGGACATTTCACATTTAATAAAGCAATAACGATAATCCAAGTTACCGAAGGCGTTGGATAATAAAGTATGAAAAAATGATTTTTATTTTTTCAATAGAAAATGCTGTATTTTTTGGTAGATATATTTTAAAAATTGTAAGAAAATATTAAATGTTTTTTTTCTCTCTCTCTTTCTCTCTCAAGTCAAGAATATCTTGTTTATCTAATAACGGTCGCGGCTTATCGATATAGTTTCCAAGCCGCAGTCGATAATCTCTGTGTCAGTTATTTCTTTTTTCAAAAAAATACGCGCGGAAAATAACGAATCGATGCCTCGATCGCTTTCCTCCCCTCTCGCGATATTGCAATTTTGTTTGCGCGGGTCAAACGAGAGGATCCGCATCGCGTCATCGAGAGGAATTCGTCAACGTATTCGAACGCGACACACGTTTCCCGACTCGCGTTCGCGACAGAAATAAATTGGGGAAAATTTGCCCGGCTCTTGCGAGCGGGCAGATGAGGGGAGAAAGAAAACAAAACAAAAAAAATGCTCCGGAATGCGGGAGGAGAACTGTTCGCGCGGCAACGTCAAATATTTGCGCGCGAAAACAGTTGCGTGCTCGCACGTTCGAGTTTGCACTCGATCAACGATGAAAAGAGGGAGGAGAGAGATTGATATTTCTCCGTATTGTCCGGAATTTCTGGGCGATAAGAATAATATCAACGGAAGTGAATAAAAAATTATCTGCGATCCGAGGCCCGAGATGCTTATCACGGCCGAATACGTGAATGGATCTCGATTCGATACGAGTACGAGATAAATTATGTGAATATGAGAAAGTAAACTCCGACAAACGAGCATAATTTCCACTCCTCTTCGTACTTCATGTCAAGAGAAGGAGAAAGAGGAGATATTTATTTAAGAGAGTATCCATCAAGGGAGAATCCATCGATAAGAGAAGAAAGACGTTAGATGTTAACGGTATAAAATAAGATAAAATGAAATGAAAGAAAAATACAAAATTAAAAATTAGAATTAAAATTTTATATAATTTCATTTTAGGAATACTTTTGTATTTTGCACAATTTACTCGACGTACGATGAATAATTGAAGAGCGGAGATGAAACGCTCACACAGTGGGAACAATAATATACACGATAAGACTATAATTCGCGGCCGTAAAATGCGTGACAGCGTAATTCCCGCGTGGTACCGATTTTTACGCCACGCAAATTTGCGCGCTCGTGATGGCTTAAATCACTAGCTTCCCTCTCGGTCGCCTCGTTTAACCGGCGATCGTTAATTTTCTTCCCGTCGCGGACAAAAATTTGAAAATCAGTACCGTTCTAGCCACGAAACGCGGCGTGAGTCATGCAAACGTGGTCGTTCCACGTTTCTGCCGTTACGATAAACGCAATCGTATTCCGCTGATTTAGCGCCGGTGTTATCGTTCGCAAGAAATATATGTATATCGAAATCGCACATGCGTTACGATTCGCACTGAATCGACGCGATATAGCCATTTCGTCCGGAAATTAGGGAACTTTACACCTTTAGCGCGAGTATCTCGAGGGATTCGATTCGATTAATAAAAATTCCATGCAAGAGTAAATTTGTAATCCGTCGATTCCATGTTTTTAATACAAAAAATAAATATATCTGATATACACCTGACTTTGTTAAACCATTCATATCGCGAGAGATCGGAGGTGCACGTCGTGTAAGAAAGTCCCAGGTAGGGTTGCCAGACGTTCTCCAATTTAATAAAATTTTTTCTGTCCTTCGAAGGACGCTATTTGTCCTCCAATTTCGGCAAATATATTGAAATATATTAATAATTACGGCTGCAATACTTATTTATTTTAAATCATCTGCCTATTCGATTTCCTTTTCTTTTGGGTTCTTAAAATTGTGTCCTCCATTCGGGATTTTCAGATCTGGCAACCCTAGTCCTAGGGTAAGCGCAAGCTGAAAACACATCGTTTCGGAACGTCCGGATTGTCGCAAGGTGCGCAGATTCGAGCGCGTCTTGTTTTGCATCTTGCGTAACGCGATACGCAACGAAACCAACGGGGAAGGGAAGGGAGAAAGAGGGGAGGAGGAGAAGGCGTTTCTGCCGCGAACGGAAATTGTACCCGCGCGTTGCGTAAGAATTGTAAGGACTGGTCGACCAACGATAACGACAGCGTGTAATCGTATCGCGGCTAAGTAGCTTGGCACTTAAGCTACAAAACATCGTGCAAATCTTCAACGAGTTTCTCAGATCTCGGACTTGTTCCTTCGCCATAATAAGCGCCGAATCGTGCGCGAGAAAAGACGAAGGTCCCTGAACACAAATCTATCTAGCTAAATGTCCATCATATCCATCTTCAGCAATAATTCTTAAATTAAAAATCGCCAACTCTTGATATTTCATAGGATATTAGCTAACAATCGTCATCGATAATTATCATAAATTATCATAAATGTTTAATATAATTATCATAAACGTTTAAATTCCTTCAGTGCTCTTACATACGGTATTTTTTAGTTTTTTACGTTTGGATGCAGAATGGATCATTTTTTTAATCACACCGTTATAGAATATTTTAGAATATTTTATTATAATTTTAGAATATATAATTAAAAGCCTTTAAAAAAAATACCGCGCAGAAGAGCATTACTGGAATTTAAAAATTACTAGCCATAATTACATTAACGATGATTGTTACCTAATATGCCAAGAGTGTCACTGAAGGAATTTAATAATTATTGATGATAATTATTAATATCCCGCGATATTATGGAATTAACCTTTGTTCGACTTTACTTCCATTCGCCGGACATTTCGATCGGAAGCGGACGCCTCGATCTACTGGGATCTACGCGACGTTATTAAGACACGTGCGCGTAATTCGGACGTAACGCGAGCCACGCTTCGGCGAGTACGCTTCGCCTCCCCCTGCCTCCTCCTCCGCCCTCTTCCCCGTCGAATCCCCCATTCATGAGAAGGCGCGGATTCTATAAGCGGCTTCACGAGCGCTCGGCCGAGCCGAGTCGGTTCACTCGATTTCATTCATTTGATAGATAATCGTCGTGTTCCTGTTTGCGGCTCGGCAGGGACGTGCCAAGCGCAACAGAGCGAGCCGTTCCTGCGCTCAAGGTCCAGGGTTCCGGGCTCCGCA